GCTTTAGTTGCCCAAAACCATAAGCCACTATCCTACCTTGTTGCATGAATACACATCCCAGACCAGCATGAGATGCATTCCAATATATCCGAAAACACTCAATATCGTCAAGGAAGACCAATAATGGAGCAGTAGCAAGCCGACGCTTGATCTCAAAAACACTTTCCTCGCACTCGATGTCCCAATTAAAATAGAACCTCTTTTTGATGAGACTCATCAAAGGAACAACAACATGGGAAAAGTCCTAGATGAAATGTCGAGAGTATCCAACTTGCCTAAACAATTTGTGGAGATCCTCGGTGTTAACCGGTTAATCCAAGCTAATGACACCCTTGACTATGACAGGGTCAAGGGAAACTCTTTCAGCAGAAACCATATGGCTAAGAAAGGAAATCTTGTCCATCTAGAAGGAAAACTTACAAATATTGGCATAGAAGTGGTGCTAACAAAGAATTTTCATCCTGTGAAATAGGTATACAACACGGTCCTAAGAGTTCTTCGAGTATACCAAGATGTCGTCGACGTAGATGGGAATGTACTGGTTTAAGATAGGCCCAAAAATCTGGTTCATGAGGTCAATGAAAACCGCCAAAGTATTAGTCAGACCAAGGGGCATAACCTAGAATTCAAACGACCATACCGACAGTGAAACACTCTCATCGATATATACTCAGTCTTGATTCGTACCTGATGATAACCAGACCTGAGATAGATTTTGAAAACATCAATACGCCTATAAGTCAATCAAATAATTATCGATGTGGGGCAATGGGCACCGTTTCTTGATGGTTGCGTGGTTGAGCTCTCGGTAGTCGATGCGAAGATCAAGAGTTCCATCTTTCCTCTCTGTGAACAAGATTGGGGCACCTTACAGAGAGGAACTAGACTAGATAAGCTTTTTCCTTTGTACTACTAACACTTGATGATGCAACTCTTGGAGTTCTCTTATATTTATTTGCATATGGATATATCAATGGGTTGGGTTCTTGAAACTAGATTGATAGAAAACTCAATCTCTTGCTTGGGAGGCACTCCTGGTAGTTCTTTAGGGAATACATCCAAAAAGTTACAAACAACAGAGATTGCATGAATTGATTGTTTAGGATCCATGATGTTATTTATCACAAAGGTTAGAGAAAAACAAACATTTTGAAAATAACTCTTTTACTGTACAACCATGAACATCAGTGAGTTTTTTTAAAACAAATTCTTTGATCCTTAGAGGTATTTTCATTAGGTGAAATTTTTTTCTTGTTCAGTTAATTACTTGATGGTTCTCTAATAAATATGTCTCGATATTGAATCTTTTAAAGGGAGTCAATAAGGGATGCCTAAAAGGAGAAAGGCAATATCTAAGAATTTCCTAATATTCTCCTAAATTTAGACTTATAAGCCTAAGTGTAATAGATTTTTCTCAAAATCGGACTCTGATACCATTTGTGACATCCTAAGTACCTAATGGGTAGAAGGGATCCAACTACCTAAGTAGTTTCGAGTGTAAAAAGAATATTATTTAACATTTAAGCAGGAGATAGAAATCCCTCACAAAACAAACTAAGATTTAAAAGCTTACCTCAAAAACCATAATTTGGTATTGTTAAATATTGAATACGAAAGTAAGATCATGACAGAATTTTACATCATAGTGCAGAATAACTATTGCACTTGAATTATGTTCTAAAAAATTTCTAAAGATCTGTGAAAGGTTTTAATCAAACTTCAAGATAATTAGGAGAGCCAATCCTCAACTTCAATGACATTTGGGAGGCACAGATTAGGGGTGAGTTCCATGTATACTCAGTAAGGGAAACAATATTTAAAACCACATGACTAAGGCTTAAAAGGTAAACAACTTGAACAGTACTTTATATACTTTTTACCTTGGTGAACCGTCATGGGGTGAATACATTCAATTATTCAGAAAAACCCTTTGTCTTTATTTTTACCTTGGTGAACCGTCATGGGGTGAATACATTCAATTATTCAGAAAAACCCTTTGTCTTTATTAAGGAAATTCAGTGAAACAGTCATATAACTAAACTAAGAGCATCATAAAATGAATATTTAAATAGTCATATTATGTCACCTTTGGCATGCCTGGACATATCAAATATCCAATAGAGACCAAATGAAACAACATACTCAGTAAACAGAAGAATCATCATATAAACCATTATAGAGATACAATTAGTGTTCTTAATCATATGTAGGTTTTATTAAGTTTTTTATTGAACTCTGTGCGAAGCTGTTACAACGTATATCCACTGAGGGCAGAAGGGATCTTTGACTATCACTGTAAATCACCGATCCATTCCCAGGCCATGATCATTTCCCCATCTAAACTATGACCACGTCCGTACATTGCCACAGTTGCCCTGTATCTAACACGTATCCTCTCTCCTTAGAGGGATCACCAATCATCACAAGGAGCGTTTCACCAACACTTTTTAAGAGGAGGAAGAAATAAAAACCCCTCAAAGATAATAGCCTAATGGATTTTTCATTCTTTCAACTTATTTATTTCATGTTCATAATAATTTTCGTATTCTTTTCATATGCATATTACATGTTTGATGCAACTATTTTCGAAGTCGATAAAGATTCCATAACTTATATGGGGTTGAAGGCCCCTTTTTCACATGTCTGACCCAAAAGCTCATTTTATGTGTCCAGCTCGAAGCCCATTTACTCAATCTTGATCTTCAGTTCATCCTCCTGA